GGGTGTGGCTCAGTGGTAGAGCCCCTGCCTAGAATCCCCCAGTGAGGAACTGGGGGCGTGGCTCAGTGGTAGGGGTAGCCCCTGCCTAGCATTCCCCAGGGAGGGTAAGTAGCACTCCTTCTTAGCATGCACAAATCCCTAGATTCAATATCTGATGATAAGTTTTTGTTTTGTTTTGTTTTTAGTATTGGGCCATAGGTCAGAGAATGCAGGAGGCTTCTAAAAGCTGGAAAAGATAAGAAGAGGTCTTTGGGGGTCTGCAGGAGGCAGGCCTACTAATAACTTTTAGCCCTGTCAGAGCTATGGTGTGGACCACACGGTGTCCGTTGCTACTTGACAGTTTCCAGCACTGCAACCTTGCAGAACAGACTTCTCTAATGCCTTTCCCTTTGGGAAATTTTATGTGGGTTTTTGGTAAAAGATGTGTACGTGGTAGCCTCCCTAGACAAAATAATTCTTTTTTTTTTTTTTTTTTTTGGTTTTTCTAGACAGGGTTTCTCTGTGGCTTTGGAGGCTGTCCTGGAACTAGCTCTTGTAGACCAGGCTGGTCTCAAACTCACAGAGATCCACCTCCCTCTGCCTCCTGAGTGCTGGGATTAAAAGCGTGCGCTACCAACGCCCAGCTGACAAAATAATTCTTGGGAAAAAAACCCCCGCCACTGTGGAAGCAGGAATTCCATTGTGCCCTCCTATTTCCTCCGAGAACAGGAAGGTAGAGATTTACTAGACACACCTGATCCCAAGGATGAAATGCCAATAATTCAGATCTAGAGCCTGAGGCCATTAAGGGCAAGAGTTCAGTTAATGAGTATAGAGAAATCAAAATGGCCCTGTACAATGGCACAGAGTGAGACTTCAGGACCTTGCCTTTTGGGAGCGTTATGAGGGGAACAGGCTCATATAGTAAGACTAAGAAACTAGTATAGTCGGGCGTTGGTGGAGCACAACTTTAATCCCAGCACTCGGGAGGCAGAGGCAGGCGGGTCTCTGTGAGTTGGAGGCCAGCCTGATATCCAGAGCGAGTGCCAGGATAGGCTCCAAAGCTACACAGAGAAACCCTGTCTCAAAAAACAAAACAAAACAAAAAACAACAACAACAAAAAGGTGTAGTCGGGCTGGAGAGATGGCTCAGAGGTTAAGAGCACTGACTGCTCTTCTAGAGGTCCTGAGTTCAATTCCCAGCAACCACATGGTGGCTCACAACCGTCTGTAATGAGATCTGGCGCCCTCTTCTGGTGTGCAGATATACATGGAAGCAGAATGTTGTATACATAATAAATGAATGAAGTATTTAAAAAAAAAAGGTGTAGTCTTTTTTCAATTAAACGATGCTGGCAGCCATCCCGATTCACCCTGAGATTGTCTCTGCCCCAACCCCTATTAACTCCACACAGCCTCTTTGGAACCTGAAGCAGGTCTCTAGCAGATCTAGTTTAGGTTTCAACTGAAAGACATTCATTTCACTTCTAACCACTAAATTGGAAGCGATCTTTGTAGCAGACATGGGAATGAACACAGAGGTACCATCCGAATGTCTGTTTTAAACTCGGGCCCCTGAGCACCCTGGGCAAGTGTTCTACACTGAGTTCTATTCCTAGCCCCATCCCTATTCTTTTAAGACAAGGTCTTGTATAACCGAGGTTTTCCCCAAACTCAGTATGTAGCCAAGGATGACCCTGACCGGATCCTCCTGCCTGTATCTCCCAGGGCTGAGAACACAGGGGTACACTGCCAGGCCCTGTGCACGCTCTGATGGGGACTGAAGTCAGAGGTTCACTCAGGTTAAGCAAGCACCGGAGCCACCAACCGAGCTGTATCCCCAGCCCCTCCAATGCCTCGGTGGCTTGGTCATTTATTGCTATTGTGTGTGTGACATGGGTTATGTGCGCACCACAGTGTGCCTGTGGGGGACAAAGGGGAAACTCTGAAGTTGACTCCCTCTCTCCACCTTTCTGTGGGTTCTGAGATTGAACTCAGGCTGACAGGCTTTACCACCACGAGCATTTGTTCTCGTTAAATTGGCAAACTCTAGGTTCAGTCTCAAACAAAAACAAAAACAAAACAAAACAAAAAAACAAACAAAAAAAACAGAGCGGAGAGCAACAGAGAGTAACATTCAGTGTCAGCCGCTGGCCTCTGCATGCTCTCGGACCCCTGTGCACACACAAGTGCATGTATGTATATACGCACCCACACATGTAAAACACATCATACACACCAAAAAAAAAAAAAAAACCCCACCACCACCAAAGAAGCCCTCGAGCACACAGATGCCTCTGCTCCTGTACACACACATAAACCTGCGTATGCATGAACACACACACACACACACACACACAAAGAAAGAACAAACATTTTAAAGAATGTGGGCCAGGCGTCCTGAGTGGCAGCTGGCGAGAGCTTCCTGGTGCATGTTTCAGAGGCAAATGAATCTTATCCAGGACACTCTAAATCTCTGTAACAACCAGGGCAACGTCACAGACAGCGATAGCAATGCCCCCTCTCCTGTCACGTCAGCAGAGCCTGCTCACTTTTCTATACTTTCCAGCATCGACTCACTGACACCCAAGTCACGGGTCCGTCCCTTGGCTCACATGCTTAGGATTGAACTTGGGCCCTTGCACACGCTAGCCAAGCACTCTACCACTAAGCCATGGCCCCAGTCCTTGGTATTTTTTTGGACACTGTCTTATTAGTAACCCATGGTGGCCTTGAACTTGATTTTCAAGCTCATACTGCTCTCAAACTCACAATTCTCCTGTCCTGGAAATCTTCAAATGCTTATAAATGTGACAGGCCTTTCTGTGTCATCTTTCAGGGGAGGGGACAGCCCCCACCCAAGACCATAGAGACGGTGGGCTACTTTGTTGAGGTTCAGCTCTTCATTGCACAGCCATGGAGGGGAACAGGAATTCACTGGGGAGAGCACAGCAGCCCCTGTCCCTGACTGGAAGACCTCCCAGTACTGACAGTGTAGACACAAAGAGGCTCACCAGACTCCGCTGACACAGCGCGTGGACAGCGCCCGGGGCATGATCTCCGAGCCCTGCTGCATGAAGCCACCCACGGGGAACCAGAGGCTGTTGCCCAGTGTGTACTGGTTCTCCAGGTTCTTCTGGCGTGCCCGGAGGCACGGGTGCGGATTGTACCACTCGTAGGGGCTCAGCCTGTGGAGAGATGAGTGGGTGGCTGAGGCTGAGGTGCGGAAAAGAAGGGGTACTGTGATTGGAAGCGGCTGGGGCGGGGGGAGAAGACAGTGACGGACACACGCAGAAAGGGGATGGGGGCAGAGAGGAGAGATGCTAGCACACCACAGAAGCAGACATTGCAGTGGCAGCAAGAGGAGAGGCCTGGTAGAGACCCACTAAAGCTCAAGTCAGACCCCCAAGTAGAAAGAGAGAAACAGAGACAGGGTAAAAAAAAGACAGGAAAGCAGGCATAGCGCCCTGTGGCCCACAATGTTCAGCCTCGACAGAAGAGGGACGGTGTGGGTGGCCTGTGGGCTGGGCTCCTGCCTCTCCCCACCCCTCCTTCCCCAGGGCCAGGTGGCCCACTCACCTGGCAGCCAGGAACAGGACACAGCTGACAGCCAGATAGGCAAGAAGCATGAAGAGCCACACGGCAGGGGAGAAGGGGTCCAGGAAGGAGAAATAGCCAGGCTTGCGGCCCTAGGGGGAAGAAAGGACATTGAGAGCACAAGCTGTGTGCCCAACCCCTTCATCCTCCAGGAACTCAGAGGTCCGACC